GAACACCAGTGGTCGGCCTAAACGAAATTGGCAGCCGGCAGCCTCGCTGCCAACCGCGTTATCGACAGCGCCACATCCGCCGCAGCAAACAACAAATCGATACATGTTTTAATGTTGTTAGGCGCTTTAGTAGTGGAGATGAAAGTTCACCGCCGGAAATATCTTGACTGCCAAGCGTGACACTTCGCTGCTCGATTCGCACTACACTAAACTGTACCTTCAACTTGGTAACTGGTTGCTCTACGCACATGCGGTACAACAACGCCAAGTAAACAAGAATCCTCATTCGATTATAAATTTCGCGGTGACCTTGAGGTCTGCTCCTGATAGCAATGGTGAATCGAAGAGTGACCAGTAGATAATATCGTCAGAACTTACGATCACCAACGCGTGCCTTCCGGAGGCTTGCCGGTGTGGTACTTTACTAAATTCCTTGTAGATTCACATCTTGTTTACCTGGGAAGCCGCTTGAAAAAATAATCCTCAGCCGACAGCGAAATGCTGCTGACAGGAGCAACCGCAAACGAACTTCAAAGCAATTCCCAAATCTGTCATACAAGTTCATGTTAAAAAAAATAAAATAATTATTCATCCACTGGAGCCGAGCACGGAGCCCGAACAGTGCTTATCTGCTGCTTCCGAGACAAGTGCTTCGTTATTACGCAAGCTCAAACGGGTGTATGGTGCAGATACGAAATAGTCCACTGCCAATCACTAAGGGCATTCGACTTTGACAACGCATCACGCACTCTTCATTTACACGTTATTAATACGCGCGGGTAGCGCCTAACCTGCTCGCTCGCTCCATCATTCTACCTCAATACTCTACAGACAACACGTTAATTCAGACATCGGTGCTTAAGACAAGGCACAAATATTCGCACTCGCAGCAGGTTGACGACAAGTCGCAAGGTGGGCAGAGGCTTGTGGCCTCATGCGTCATCGCGAAGGAACCGCTCGACCAGCGCTGGAATCGTAATGTAGCCATCGCAAACGTAATAACGCTGCCGAGATTCCTCCTTTCCGCCGATGGCCAGTTCGATGTATTTGTTGATGCCTTTGGCCAGCAACCGACTGCGGGCCTTCTTGCTCTTGACGAATAACTTGATGAATAGTCGTGGCTGCGAGAAGCTAGTCACGAGGAAGTCCATGTTCTTGCTGCAGTACTTACACGCGCCCCCACCACTGTGCTGACGTTGCGCGATGCTCCACACCTGGTAACGAAGGTTGGCAAAGTCGTTGAAGCGCTTCTGTATAGTGTAGTCTGGTTGGTCTCGTCGCGATGCCTCCAGCCTAATGTTAGTCGGGATGCGATTCGTATGATGCTTCAGGTAAACGTCCACGAAGTAGTAGACGACGCCGCCGATCTCCGCGAAGTTGGTGATCTCGACGTGGTCGATTGTTTTCAATACGCCGATGGGCTCCACTGCACTAGACGAGCGGTGTGGCGTCAAACAGACAGGTGTGAGTGGTGGTGCCCATGCGCGCTCCCAGAAGTGAACCATGGTGTGAAGATATGGCTATGGCGGTGGAAGCTACGTTATCGGCAGCGACGCGCGCTTGGCAGCAAATTGAGAACTGAGGCCCAGTTCCACGCCGACTCATGTGGCCAGGCAAAGTATTTATACCTGTCGTTTAATTTTCGTCCATGTGTAGCAGACACCTGGACCATCCGAGCCTCAAAGCGG